AGTTTGAGCTGACTCTGCTTGTGCAGAGTGTGGTGATGATTCTCACCATGCTGGCTATGCTACACTTGTGCTGCACTGTCCAGATTAGCAACCGTGTCAGCACCAAACAGCACCGCATCACAGGTAACGGCATTTATTTGTACAATACCACCACTACAATAAGTTAGGAGATTATGGTGAGAGTATTGTGACCAAAGAGGAATTCTGGCACACATTGTGTTCAGGACATTGAAACATATTAAATATGTTTCTGTTGAAATATTTTCGTTGTAATCATTGATAAAGTTAGTGGTTGTCTGCTGCTCTGATGTCACAGAGGGACATTGCTAGAGCAGATAATATGGTTCTTACTAGGCTTTTTACTGTTAGCTCCTAAAAACAAAAGAGAAGAGCTTATTTTCTCAATCCACTAGAAGTAGGAGAAGTAGAAGTAGTGGAGACGGCTAATATCTTAAATTTCTAGAATGCAATGCATCTACAAGATATGGCCAACGGTTTGTGGACACCTGACCTTAACATCCATATGAGGGTCTTCCCCAAACTGTTGCCACAAAATTGAATACACACATCTGTCTAGAATGTCTTTGAGTGCTGTTGCATTAAGATTTTCCGTCACTAGAACTAAGAGACCTAAAGCCGTTCCAGCATGACAATGCCCCTGTGCACAAAGCAACGTCCATGAAGATATGATTTACCAAGATTGGTGTGGAAGAACTAAAGTGGCCTGCACAGAGCCCTGACCTCAACCCCACTGAACACCTTTGGGATGAATTGGAACACCAACTTCACCCCAGGCCTTCTCGCCCAACATCAGTGGCCAATCTCTTGTTGGCTTAATGAACACACATCCCAACAGACACAGCCCAAAATCTAGTGGAAAGCCTTCCTAGAAGATTGGAGGCTGTTATAGCAGCAAAGGAGGAAAAACGCAGTATTAATGCCCATGGGTTTTGGAATGTTCAGTACTCCACATACTTTTTGGCCATGTAGTGTATATGACACAGTTGCATTTAGAATTTTTAATGAATCCTACCACTATGCTCCCAGAAACACTAGAAAACACTGGGGGGGAAAAAACTGAGTTAGAAATGCCAGTGCTGTCAGCATGGTGTGTGAATTCTGGCTCTGACAGTTCCTCAGCCTCATCACTCCAGTTCACAATTGGTTTTGACTAGTGATGTGTGCAGGACAGTTTTTGTTAAAATCCCACTTGCACAGTTATTATTTTTCGTTTGTACCTGCCTACAATAACTTGGTTCTATTTCCCAAGACAGAAACAAACTACTAGCGTGATTTAAACCACCGCAACCCTGACCAGGCAGTTACTAAGGATGGATGAATAAATGCTGTACATTCATGTTAATGAACGAGGCCTTTCTTTGTCCTGTAAGCTTCATATCTGACTGCTCACTCTCACCCACATGAAAGTAAAATCCTCGCAGTCATTTATAATACATTATCTGTTTATTTAGGATAATGTAATTTGTTTTTGGTTACATTCCTATTCTACTCAGAGAAACATAAGTGCGATATTGCTCTCAAATGTGCCCAAAATAAGGGAGGAGTCACAATAAAGGCAGCTGTATCCAGAATGGAAATGCTGCCTACCTAAGAGGCAGACTGGAATGCAAGGAAACAACTAAACAGCACTGCAGTAGAGGTAATGCACTGAACTAATGGAATTAGCATCCATCTGAGCTGAGTTTAAGAGCATAACAGCGCCCTTAGGACTTTTGATCCTCTTTCTGCGTTATTGTGCACTGATCCTGAGTGAACATGAATTGCCAGAAGAGGGTGCCATGGTCCTGAGAAAAGCGTTATTGAAGCTTAGATCATTTCCCCATCCCTGTAATGTCATTTTACCTCATCTTTCCCCGCAGTGAGTCATTTCTTTACATTCGTTTAGCTGGTATTTGACTGTAGGCATGAGACTGTACGATGACCTTTATGCATCCTGTTCATAATATAATATCTAATTGCAGTACAACTGGTAAATGCCTGTAGTCTTGCACCTATATGACTGTTATTGTTGTGCTGGTTGGTTGAATGAGAGGAATGAGAAGCACTGTTAATATTTAAAGTGTTTGCTGTTGAAATGTTTTTATATTTTAACAGGTGATAGAAAAAATTTCATGCTGCCAAACATGCTGCCTCAGTCCAGCTTCAGATATGTTCATGCCCTATCTGGAATCTTAAATATTTTACACAGTTGTGTACACAGAGCCAGATTTATAACTGGATTTGGAGAAAGACTCTGAGAAGACCTAAGAGACAGTATGACTTGTTGCTCGAAGCAGTGTGTGTCATACATTTTTTTTTTTTTTTTTTTTTTTCATGTCAGGCTGCTGCTTGAACCTGCAGGAGTCACACAGCAGAAAGCGACATTGAGTTCACACAGGGTCAGTTTAGCGTAACAATGATTTATGAAGAATTCAAGCCCCAGTTGATTGGCTTTTTCCATGTCCAGGAGGAGGTTCAATATAAGTCAGCCATTTATTGTCCTGCTGCCTGAGGGAGGAGATGGGATGATGAAAATGTGTAATATGGTAATAATTAGAGAGCCGAATGTGGAATCAGACAGCAGCCTAATTTACCTGTCATGCTGATCGATTGGAGTGGAGAAGTCTTAGTGTGAGTAGTAGAGTGATTTCTCAGGACTTACATGCTAGTATATGTGTGTACAAGGGCTGCTAAGTTCTTTTCAAACTTGCAGTCAGTTGTACTTGCATAAAAGTTTTTGTACTCAAACATATTTGAATATTAACGAGCCTATAATTTTGTACTGGCGCTGGCTACACTACATTTGTATTGCATAAACCACAGAAGGTGACAAACACCTGGATTTTACATTTTATAAGCCTTATTCAGAAAGGATTAGATTTACCTTTGGACCTGGAGTAAATTCATCATGTTCCATCATCAACTGATCCATCCAGGTAAACATTTTTCTCCATCCTCTCCTGAGAAATATACAGACCATACTGCCTTCAGTTTTTTGGTCATCTGATCATTTCATGCAGACTGGCCTCGGAAGTGGGAAGTTTTGCGCTCAGAAAGATGTCGTTTTCAACCTCTGCATTCATACAAAGTGGGATAATAACATGGACGCCTCTATGTTCGTCTTTTGTTAGCCAGAGATAGCCAGATAATTGTGATGAGTGATGTATACTTCCCTCCTCAAAACAGCAGTCTGTATAGCCAGTGTTATCGATTTAACAAGTTAATGTGGCTGTATGTCGTTTGAGCTAAAGCAGATACTTGAATATACAGCAGAACTCATTTGAAGGTAAGAAGTGCTACGTGGTTCACTCCTGATGCTGTGCGCAGCCATTTTGATTTGATATCACTTGCTAAACTCAGAGAAGTTTAGGAGTTGAGGAGACCATCCGGAGCTCCCGAGTAGAAATTCCAAGTTGAGGGGGCGTTTTCTTTGTTTTTTTCCTGGCCGGAGGTTATGACCTCTTGTCAAATTCAGCACAAGTCCTGTCCGTATAGAAATGTCTCTGATTTTACAGACTGCTTCTTCCCCTTGCATTGGAAAGAAGTTTTTTGATTGCTAGTACTCACTGTATTTATTCAACTAGTCTCTCATCAACTTACTTTGTCTGGGTTCTATAACTTCATCTCCATGATAACTATATTGGGAGCCCATTAGCAGGAGAAAGATAATAAACCCAATCAGAAGAGAGCAGTAACGTGGCTAATTAAAGGGGCTGCTCTAAAAACAGCTACAAGCATAAAGCTGTTTCATATTCACATATGCCACAATATCATGACATGCTTAGTTTTTTAGATAATAAATAACAGTTGTTGTATCTACGTAAGGTTGTATCTACGTAAGGTTTTTTACTCATCTAATGTTACATGCTGCCAAGTAAATAAACATCATAATTAATAATTCAGTGCATGATTATACTGTAATACAATAGATACTAGATCATATGACCACGTGTGACGCTATCATCCAGGTTCATAGACAACCTGCCAAGTTTTTGTCACCCAGTGAAGCTAATCCCATCAGAACAGGGCTTCAGATGACGTGTACACCATCTTTAAATCATATTCATTCATTTCTAGGTAGAATAGTGAGACCTCCTATGTAGTGCTCTATAGTATATTCAGTTGAACATTTAACTGATATTCAGCTGTAGAGACCGAGCCACCATTAAGAAATTAAGTAATATCAATTTCAGCACAAGGGCCTTGTTCATTTTTTTTTTTTGTATTTCAATTGAGAATTTATATATGAGATTAAAAAATGTTTTTCTTTCTCGAGCAACACAAGGATTATTTTGACAAAAACAAGAAAGAAATGCATGCTTTTACTAGACCCAGGTGACTAAAAGTAGGAAAGAGGCTCTTAAACATTTGAATATGGTTTCATATACTTTGTGTTAGTAAAATTCCTGTTTGTGGATGTGGAGCACGAGCACACTGTGTGTTAAGTGTGTGTGTGTGTGTGTGTGTGTGTGCGCTCATGCTACCGAGAGTATTAGTGAACTCAGTATCAGAATCTTGAATCTTGTGTCTCATTTCCTGCCTGTGTTGCTCTGAGGAAGTAGACAACCTTGCTGCAATCCAGCTTGTTCCCCTCTGTCATGCCTTATGTCCAAGCTTAGTGTGTCCTTATTGATCTGAAACCCCCCTCTCGCACAGTTCATGGCTGTACAGTGACTGCCAAGTGGTTGTATAAGATTTCATATCCAGTGGAGCAGAGAAATGCAGGCCAGCCATGAAGGGCTCTCAGGGAGTTCCTATCAGGCAGTCATGGTGTCTGCTTACAGATAGAGACAGATGTACACATGGACATACGAAGGGTGGGTTGGGCCCAGAATAGCCTAAAACATCAGGCTGTTTCCCACAGGAACATCTGAGACTGTATTTCACAAGCAGCCACCTGCGCAATCATACACTCACTGACAACATAAAAAACCTGCACACACAGCATGCCAGTAAGATACCACAGATATACCTGCATCTTACACACTCAAACACACACAGTGGTAGCTCAGTGGTTAAGACATCAGACTTTTGATTGGAAGGTCATGAGTTTAAATCCCAGTACCACCCTTAAGCAAGGCTCTTAACCCTCAACTGCTCAGTTGTATAAATGAGATAAATGTAATTCTCTCTAGATAAGGGCGTCTGCCAAATGACATAAATGTAAATGCAAACACACACACTGAACATATGTCACTTTTTAAATGTCAGAGTGCCCTATTAAGAACCTTGGACTCATTCAACAAGAACGAAAGGAAGCCCTCTACTGGTCGCCATCCGTAGGTACATACATTTGCACCTGCCAGTTAGTGCAGGCACTGAGGGACGTCCTAGTTATATTTCTGTCAAAAGTAATTGTACGTTTAAAAAAACAAAAAAAAAAGGGACAAGATTTATGATGTAAATTTATGACTCGCAAATCAGTATTCAGACTCCTGAATCTGCAAATGTGTTTGTAACCTAAATGTTGTACTTACAATCCATATATTAAAATGATATCAGATATCTTTAGCGCGTCCGTGTTGGGATTGCAGATCAAAATGTACATAATAACAGCTTCTAAGCGACATTTACATATCTCCTGTTTTGCTTTCATTCTCAAATGTGAGGCACAAAGAATGAGTTGTGTGTGAATTTGCAAATATCGCACAAGAAGTGTGCATACAAAACTGTAGCACAAGTCACAGATTTATGATTATGTTTTTGCTTCATGGCGTCGCTTCTTGTACGATTTACAGGAAATTCACTCTATAGGGAAATGAGATCACGTTGAATTCGTTTGGCATGATGGCCTAAGAGTGGCAGTGTTGTCTGTCTCACAGCACTGTAGCATGTCCCAACAGACAGCACACACACGCACCTTATGCGTGGCCATGAAAGAGCATTATATCTGATAAGTAAGCAGAGTTACTGTTACCACCCCGAGGTGGATTATTTTCCAGCAACGTCATGTCCTGAAGTGTTGTTGCTCTTATTCCAAAGCAATTTGCCAACACTAACGATTTTTTTCTTCATTAAAGAATGACATCATACTTTTTATCTGTTCATAGTTACTTTTGTTGCAGAAACAGTCATTCCCTGACCTGCCTCTTTTTTCACTCTGAAATTAATAAGACCAAAAAATTAAACTCGTCATGTTACCGGGAAACCACAAAACCCAAAGTTCACTATCCTCAAGTCTTTCCTGTGTTAGAAACCAACATAGAGCTGCTGTTACAGAAAATTAATCAACACCTTCTGACCAATCAGATTTGAGAATTCAACCGCACTGTGGTATACATTTATTTTAAAGGCTACTATATTTTAACTTATATTTGATAGTCATAGAAAATATCAGTACGTAATATCAAAATGATTTTGTGTATTTTTTTAATACAGGAGATATGTTGCATGATGACTTTATATAAACTGACGCTCAGGCCTCGTGTGATTGTGGTGCATTTTATATCAGGCACGTGCCCCAGGGCAGCTCCGCAGCTAGAGATGCACATCAGCACCGAAGACTGAAGCGAATTTCAAACTCAGTGCTTTCTGTTTATCAACAGTTCATTAACAGTATAGCAGGTTTCACACTCCTGACTCGCTAATCAGGGTGGAATTGCAGACGTAGCAATGTGTTGATTGACTCATTCCTATCCAACGTGTTGCAAAAAAAAAAAGATTGGTGTTACTGGAAGTGTAATAAATGTGTAATGGTTTGTAATATATTTATTTCTCATGAATATACTTTCCACTAGCTAGAGAGCAGGATGTTAGTAAGCAAAGCTGATGTGATCTTGATGATATACTAAAGAGCGAAATAGAGCAGCAGGTTAACAGACTTGACACATTAATACTATATAAACCAAAGAAATAGTATAACTGAGTGATACACTGCTTAGCACAGGAGCCATCAGTGTAATTTCTGAAGGACACCTACAGTTAGTGTTGTCTATCATCCACCACAACGCTAACGTTACTCTTACTAGCTTACAAAAACTGCACTATTACATATCTCTTTATTTTCAAAATACAGATTTTATTTATTTATTTTTTTTTAAGTTTGTCTGTAGTATTTCTATAATATACAGTTTATACATACTACTAATTGTAGAACCCTGGCATGTGTTGGTGAGACAGACGAGACAGACAACTTTTACCAAAGCTTTGTGCTTCTTTTATTTTTTAAGAAATCAGCGATTTCTCACTCACGGACACACACATGCACAAACACACACAGAGAGTTCAGCTCAGCTCTCATTCTCTTGGATTCATGGTGTTCTGTCTGAAAGACAAACAACATATAAGTAACCTTAGCAAGATTACACACAGGTGAGAATCATCACGCGTTACCTGCCGGTTCAAGCCGCCTCTTCTTCGTGCGCTGCTGACACTCAACCTCACCCCGCTGCCACATACGTCTTAATGTTTTCCACCCACACTTGGGGATGGCTATTAGTGTACCCTTTTTAATATCCAGAAGATGTAGAACTCTGTAATTATTACTTAGTTCATAATGAACTACCACACTGTAGGTTTATTATGATTTACTCAGCAATTACCCAGTATTCATTAGTAGTACTAATGGCTTTGGTGTAGGAGTGTAATGCAATGACACTGCATCTGTATCTGTTGAGTGCTCCAAATATCTGTGTCTGTGCCTGAATTAAATATGATCACAATACCTCCGGAAACATGGGAAAACACTGTCAGCGTGATCTGTGGATTCTGGTTCTGACAGTTCTTCAACCTCACCTACATCACTCGCACATTTGTTTGTTTGTTTGCTTTTTGTTTGTTTGTTTGTTTGTTTTCTATCTAGTAGCCTAATTTAAATAAATGTGACTCTGACCAGGCACTTACTAAGGATAAATGAATGAACGCTAAATGCATCGTGCAGAGATTCACATTCATGTTGATGAACATGGTCTTTCTATTTCATGCAAGCTTCGCAACCACGTTTGTACGATGTGCAAATGTTTGAGCCTGATCTGTTCACTTTTATAGTGTGTATTAGTGTACACATGGACTATGTTTCAGTGTCATTCAATCCTAAAGAGAGAGGAAAGATGAGCAGGCTTTTGTATCTCATATTAATTATTTATGGAATATAAAATACTACCACCCCCATCTTTCTTGGCTTCTGTATGTGTCTGTATGTGTCTTCCTGTGGTTCTTGCATATACAGTATAGTGCTGCTGTCTCAGCTGTGTGTAGGGCTACAACTTGTGTGTGTGTGTGTGTGTGTGTGTGTGTGTGTGTGTGTGTGTGTGTGTGTGTGTGTGTGTGTGTGTGTGTGTGTGCGTGCGTGCGTGTGTGTGTGTGTCCAAATCCTTTTAAGGTCCAGATATGCTTGAGAGCTGGCATGAGAAAAAGTAGCTGCTGTAACCTTCAGTCCTGTTCTGTCCTCTGATCGTACTGACAGATTGTTGATGTGCAGCGGTGTGATGCAGTGCAGATGGATAATTGATGAAAGAGCCTCCAGGGTCCTCTGTCCTTAGGCAATAACATCTCATTGACAGGCTATAGTATGGACTTCATTGAGCTAAACCCCAGCAGTGTGTGATTCTAAGGCTGGAAACTGTAGCGTGGGCTTGAGATGTTCCAGTCATTAAAGGATATTTGTGGGATAAGATACTTTACACCTTCGTCCATGAGAATAATATCGGCATCCGAGTTAGTGAGAGTGTAATTTGAATGCCTGATTTAGCCTGCATCAGCACTCTTCACTCCTTCACAGAGCTGAGCAGTGCAGAACAACAGCACTTCCCTAACTGCGAGGAGGAAACAGCATCAGAATGCCAGCTGTGTCTTACTGCTGAAGGAGCACACACTGAACTTGACTTCTGACTGAACCCCCCCCCAAATCATCTTATCTTTCGTGCTTGCATTCTGTCTCTCTCACTCTCTCTCCGGACCCATTAAAAGTAAGGTTGCAGCATCCATCAAAGGCCAACGAGCAGATTGGACGTATAGTATTTCATTATGTGGGAGTTGAAAGGCCAGTGCTGTGGTCCGGAGAACAACTGTGATTTGTCCAATAAAGCAGCTCTGACAGAAGAAATGCTGGGTGGAGGGGGCGTGGTGTGTCTTTTCTGGGTCAAAACCAGCCATGAGTCTTACAGAAACAATAATGAGAGAAATCGGAGACTGTGGTGCCAGGTACAGGAATCACGAGAAAAGTAGTAGCATCTCACTTTAAGACAGATTGACCTGTATTGGAAATGAATTTCTGTCGCTTTCTTTCACCAGCATGTACAGACTGACCCTTGACCTTATGCTGTTCTTGTGTTCAGGGATGTACGGTTAAAAAAAACAACAAAGTGGGTAACTATAACCATTTTGTTATTCTTTTGCACTACCTGTTATATTTGACACTTTCACACTAGAACTGTGTACTGGTCGGCACTGCGCTGTCTCTTACTCTGCCTGTTGTCCTGTTTTAGTAATTATTGTACTGTCTTGTGCTGCTCTTGAAGTCCTGTGTTGGTTTGTGGAGCACCATGGTCATGGAGGAATGTTGTTCCTGGAAAAAATGTGGATGTATCCTGCGACATCACTCTATTAGTGTTTTGAAGAAAAGAGCTCCAGGGTCCTTGCTTTGATCCTGATCCCGGGTTACTGTCTGTGCAGAGTTTCACATGCTTCCCCTGTGTCTAGGGGGTTTCCTCCAGGTTCTTCAGTTTCCTCCCACCTCCATAACAACATGCCAGTAGGTGGACTGGCTACTCTGAATTGCCTCCAGATGTGAATGAATGTGCATATGCATGTGCGCTGTGATGGATTGGCGTCCCATCCAAGGTGTATTCCCAGCTCATGCAGAGTGTTCCTGGGATATGCTCCAGTTCCCCTGAAACTGTGACCACGATAAAGCAGGGCATGTGATAAAACTGAGTGGGTGTAAACTTTATGCAAATGGGAAGCAAGCCGATGAGGTGACCGATATTTCTTTAATTCTTTTAAATCATTTAGTAAGTAAGCTCTAAAAATGTGCATAGACGTAGTAAAAGGTTAATAAACTCTATTTCATGATTAGATACATAACATTTATGTGTGCTTATACTCGTCTATAGTTTTCTCTTTAAAGAAA